GGGTGGGTGGGTGGGGGGGGGGAGAGCGGTGTTTCGATTAGCAATTTAATATTCGAGTTGGACGCCCGGTGTCACGAGCAATTGGATCTCAAGTGTCCGACGAAAAACTCCTCTCGTATGACTGGCAAAGCGGAAATTGAAATTCGTACACGCGTTCGGTAATGGCGTAGCCCATCTGTGCCGATTTCACAGCTGTCCATCGATTTCGTACGTCCGTCGTTATCTCGCGCCCATAAAGGGATCGAAAGAGCAACTTCTTGAAAAGGCCTGAAAAGATACACACCCTTTGTGCTTCTTTCGATCGATCTCGATCCTGTCTCGAGATCGGAATCGAGGCTCCGTGAACAGACAATTTCAGACTCCATGGAACGACGCAACTGTCACGCTTTTGACGTTTTGATGTGACGCAGGTGAAATTTACAGGGTATTGCCGGCTTTCCGATCTATTTATTTTCGACTCGACGAAATCCTCGGGATGCTACACTTCAGTCGCGAGTATCGGGTTCGTTGACGATGGCCGTGCCCAAGAAGAAGTTACTCGACACCGTCTGGAACACCACGACGTTTCTGCTCACCAAGCAGCCGGAGGACTTTGTAGAGAGTCATCGCGTTAAGATCGTCATCGTCGGCAGCGGTTACACCGGAGTTGCGGTTGGAATTGCGATCCTCTTCAAGGTTCGTAATAATTTTAGTATTTCTAACCTTCTAATCGCGTCTAATCTATTCGCGTTAATTTTTTCCTCCGAAATCATTACGATTCAAAGTAAAAAAAAAAAAAAAAGAAAAATTGATAAATATAAAATGTAAAAAGACAAAGAAAGAAAAAAGGAAGAGGAATGAAGGAGTAGTTGTTTAAAGAACTTGCAACTTCAATGAAGGGGGCAAACGCGCTTCTGAACGCTCTGAGGTTCGAGCGTTTTCTAGTCTACCTGCGCGTGATCCGTGTTTGCCCAAGGGAATCATCATCGCGGTAGCAAACCTCCTAGGACCTATATATATCCTGCCGTTGGTCGACAAAGGGCAAGAAGTGGAAGGAATATCCCAGGTATACGCGCGTGTGCGCTCGTATACGTGCACTGATGCGAGGAACCCGGGCTGAATAGTAGGCTCGTTAGTATTGGCCGGGTTGAAAAAGGGATATTATGCAAATGATGGACGAAAGAGCAGAAGAAGAGGAGGGGCTCGGCGACGTGAGGCGGCGAGCGAGAGTTTGGAACGAAGAAGGAACGTGCCTCTCCTCGCTCGTTATCGGATCGTAACGCGAGCATTTACACGTCGGACGCCCCCGCAGGATCGTCGCGGCGCTGATTTATTCTAGTCACCAGAGGTGGAAACCTGAAATCCATACCAGTCTACGAGGACAGCCAACCCTTATCGCGTCTGTTCATCCAGTGGGTCCCTCCAGTTTCTTTCTCGTGCGTGCACCTCCGCTTGCCATCCACGGAAACGGCGGTTTAAGGCGAAATTGAAAAGTCCTCCCCTTTGTCGATGCGTGGCCACATACGAACGACGACGCTGTCATTACGAATCGTTTCGCTGTGCCCCAGAGTGTAACGTTTCATATTCTTCTCGTGTAACTAACGAGGGAGATCCAGCTGGTTAAGCCATTAAGGGCCAACGTTGCGTTAACCCGGCCCTTTCATTTGCAATTTTTCCCTCGAGTCGAATCATATTGTTATGATATTCCGCCCTTTTCAGCGTCGTAATTGCGAAATGGAATTCGTATGGAAGAGAGATCTCTTTACGAGGTCTTTGATATACATCGTTCTTTTCTTTCCTCTCTCCTTTCTACAACGTTCACGCGAACGATGCCATACCTCGGTGTGTTCCGTTTTCAATGGATTAATCGAACAACTGGCGCAAACACAGCGAGTTGCGAGTAATGGGGTCTCACGGACGATTATGGCCGGGTAAAAGGAAAACCTCGACGGCGAAACGATTGGGATGAACTCTGGACGGAGGGAGCGGCGAGCTCGGTAATCGGTACGCTAGCCACATTCCGGTAGGAAGTAATGAACGTGGGCGACTAATTCCAGGCTTCGGTTTCCGTGGATCGTTACGGTGGCAAACAATGAAGGCCGCGCGTAGTGGACCTCAGGGGCGGGGATCCGACTGTCGTTATACACCGCTCGCACGTCGGAGCGGATTTCACGTTGTACAAGTTTACAATGTCTCTAATAGCGGCCACGATGTCCCCGCTTGCTACTATTTCAATCTGTCATCAAGATCCGTAATGATAGTTCTCCGGACGGATACTCGTTTGGACGCTGTATTGTAATTTTCTTTGTGAAACTTTGAGATCCCCCGTCATCAACGGGTCGATATCGGATCGCCCCGAAATGCTCGATATCAACGACGACGAATCGAATCGGGGAATAAGCGAAGAAGAAGAAGAAGAAGACCAAGATCGCGGATGGAACAAGAAAGGGGACGTGAGAAGGAACAAAAAAGGAGCGGAGGAGCAAGTGAATCGAGCGGTTGTGAACCGGCGGTCCTTGCTTGGCAGATCGCATCAACGAGATGATCGCGTTCCAGTACCATCTCCACGATTTACTGTCCACCTTGCGAGCCCGCTACGCCCAGCTCGCTCGGTAGTGCGTTGCATAAGACGTTCATCTTCTTCTCGTTCTTCTTCAGTCGCTCGGCCGACTCGTTGTTACGTGTCATGTCTGTCGGGCCGCATTAAATCGTACAAACCATCTCTCGCGGGTCGGTAATTCACCGACGGTGGAAAGCTTTTTGCCCGCTGTGCGCCATATTTCATTTTCATTTGCAGTAGTAGTTGTTGTTACGACTCGAACAAAAGGAAGAAGATAGTTTGGTGGTTCGTGTTACTGTTATTGATTATAACCGATGTTAAAATGGCACTGTTTACGAGCGAACTAGCTCGACTAGAAAATGACGAAACATGATAAAAATCGATGCAGCGGGAGCATAATAAAACGTGTGACGGATCGGGTGTCGGGGACGTTCGGGGTCTTGTGATCGGCTGCGCTTCTCTGAAGCGGAATCGATCGAGGGTAGCCAAGGGTGAAACGCTGGCTGATCTAGGTAACTAGAACCGCATGAGAGACTCGTACGAGGAAAGTAGGAAAGCTGTCGGCGGTCGGTTTCGCTCGATCGAATGCAAA